TTCTCTCGGACCAGGCGCGGGTCTCTTGGTAGCAGTCGAGCTCGGTCGGGCTGATTGTGGGCATTGTGCGGCCCAATGGCCAGGCTGGCCACATCGCAAGCAGGTCGTATTGAGCTCGGCCACAAGGATCAGCTGGCTTGCCGCCCGTGTTCGGTGGGTAGCGAATGACATTCTTGCCCTTGCCCGTCAGTGAGTGCAACCACTGGAAGGTAGCCTCGCGCCAGTTTGAGCTGCTGGAATCGCTGTCTGGCGTCCAGGTATAGGTGGCATAGGCATCATCGTACTGTTCAGCAAGCTCATAGGGATCTTCAACTGTCTCACCATAGTCTTCGACTGGCTCTCACCATAGTCACCGGCATCGAAGTCAAAGGCTTCCTCCTCAGGGATGTAGTCCTCCACACCCCAATCATCAGCCTCATGGTAGACACTCTCCTCGGGCCAGGCGGTCTCAGATGGCCAGGCATTGTCATCTTCATCGAAGGCTGCGTAGCCTCTACCCTTCCAGCGGGCAAACTTGCGATCCCTGTCGCTGTTCCAACTTTATAGTCTTGACCGAAGAGGAGGTAGAGTGCGTCGATGACGGCCTGTTTGTCCAGGGTTGGAGCCTTCAAAGTCACCATTTGGCGCTGCTCCTTAGTCAAAGCTGCTCGCCGGAGAAGATGCCATCCTTGGACTTGTCCAGGTAGTGAAACATTGTGGGACATCAGCTTCCTATAGGAGGTGTCATACTCAGTGACATAGGCCAAGAGGCTTTGCTGAGGCTTCCTCTGCAAGAGGTTGAAGTACTCCTCAAAGTCATTGGGGAGAAGGACGCGGTCGTCATACTCAAAGTTCTTGTCCAGCTTTTCAAGTATTTTGCTGAATGCGTCACTCTTCTTCACATTCTCAATGGGATAGATAGTCCTCGAAGAGTTTCCAGGTCACGCCGCTGAAACTTCCAAGGATGTTCAGCACTCACTCACCAGCTCGTTTGCTGATGACCATCTTCTTGTGGTAGAGGTTCAGGCGTTTCCTGTACTCCTTGTACTCTGAGGGCTGGTTGGAGAACAGTGGGACGTAGGAGTCGCGCAGGTTCAGTGTCTCTCCATCCTTTTCCGCTGTCGAAGCTGCGGCCATCGTCACTTCCAAAGATCTTCAACAGGGAGTAGAAGGTCTCTTCCACGAGGCACCAGAAGAGCTCGGCAGAGGGTGGGTGACGAAGGTCTTATGCAGAGCCTCGTTGAGGAAGACACAAAGTTCGCGGGAGCCCCGGAATGGGGCTCCGCTACCAATGTGAACTTGTCGAGCACGGCGAACGAAGTCCGTGCCGAGCAAATGGAAAAACACGGAGGTGTGAACCTCCACGGCCGCGCCTTTTCTAACTTGCGCCCTCCCAAGTCTTGAGAGGTAGGGTTGCGAAGCGAAAGGAAAACATCACACCTCAAGTGTACAGCGTACACTTCACAATATTTCATTTGGGTCTGCTGGCATGGCAGTTCCAGGAATTAATTCCACCGTACTCCAGCGTTAATTGTTCTCATGTGTCTTGGTTCACAACCGATTTTCCTTTAGATTTAGCTATTTGTCTTTAAACTTATTTTGCCAAGAACTTAACTCCCGAGTTCATTCTACCTGGATGTTCCACTTAGTTCTTTGTGCTTTCTATCTTCCTAATCTCCCAAAGAAATACCCGAAAGGGCAAGTCGTGCAGACATCCAAAAAGGCGCACTGTAAAATTAGTTCTTTCTCAAAACATTGCTGCCATGAGACAGTGTTTACTCTCCCTGGTCCAAGCCTTTTGAGTTTCCTAATTTCTGCAAGGTATACACTGAACAGACAGTTGTGCAAACAGACATTAAACATTCATGGTCAATTGTATACTTAATTCATATTAATTCCAAAGTTAATCTATTCCTTTCCTTCGCCTGTTCCATACAATGGTCTGAATGAGACAGTGTTGGCTCTCCCTGGTCCGAACCTTTCTAGTTTCGGAAGAGAGTGCCATCTACCGACCCGAAAATGAATTCCAGGCCACAACAAAAATTGCCATTGTGGCGGCAGGACTTGTCAGTGCCAAAAATGAGGCGCCATCTACTTAGCAAACACTTGTGTTTGGTTGCTCCATGATGCCCCATCTACTTGGCAAAAACTCCTCGCTGTGGCATTTGTGTTGCTAAAACACCGGTTCTCAGGAATGGCCAGTAATGTCCGATCTTAATTAGCAAGCGGGCCCCCCCCCCTCCCTAGCAAACAATGCAGGGGGTCTGAAGAGTAATCCCGCCGCCCAAAAGAAGAAGAAGTAGTAGTCGTAGTAGTCGTAGTCGTGGTGGTGGTGGTGGTCGTCGTCGTAGTAGTAGTGGTAGTGGTAGTAGTAGTAGTAGTACTACGACTACTACTACTACTACTACTAGTAGCAGTAGTAGTAGTCGTAGTCGTACTACTACTACTACTAGTAGTAGCAGTAGTAGTAGTCGTAGTCGTAGTCGGCAGATTTTTCCCTTAGGGCCCCAAGATTGCATATTAATCCCACCCCCTAATTCATTCGTATTATTCACTTACCCTGGGCTGGTGTACTACCCCCTTTGTTTGGAGCAACGAAATTGTTGAGTTTCAATAAACGTTTTTGAAAACGATTTCCAGGTTAGAATTCCATGAATCAAGCAAACCTCAGAAGAGTTAAGTAAGGATGTCAAAGGGCAGCAATAGCAGAACAATAATAATAAAGTTAGAATATTTTCCCTTAGGGCTCCAAGTTTGCATATTAATCCAACCCCCTAAACAATTCGTATTATTCACTTACCCTGGGCTGGTGTACTACCCCCTTGTTTGGAGCAACGAAATCGTTGAATTTTAATAGGCGTTTTTGAAAACGATTCCCAGGTCATAATTCAAGACGCTTCGCGTCGACAGCCGCCCACACCACGGTTGTTCCAGATTATGTTCGGCCATATTGTTGGTTTTGAGTCCTAAAACGCCCTCCCCCAGCAGAACCAGGATTTTCAGTGAGCTTCTGCGAACTATTTTGGCACCAAATGAAGGACAAGTTGGCTGTCTTACGGCTGCGTTGGAGCCATGTTGCGGCCAACTTCATCTACCTTGGGGCCCATAATGAAGCTAATTGGGATCAGCTTGGGTGAGACAACGTCGGCATTGAAGCTATCTGTCAGATTCTGCTCGGCCCTCCCCCGGCAGGACCAGGATTTTAAGTGAGCTTCTGCGAACTATTTTGGCTCCAAATGAAGGACAAGTACAGACATCTAGGCGCCAGGTTGGCTGTCTTGCGGCTGCGTTGGAGCCATCTTGGGGCCAACTTCGTCTACCTTGGGGCTCATAATGGTGATACAACTTCGGCATTGCCAAAGCACATCCGAAAATTCACCTCCAAAACGCTGCCCCCAGTGGCCCTGCAGCCGAGCAAGAATCAACGCAGCAGCCACCCCAAAACACAAAACCTCCTCCAAAACGCTCTTCCTGGTGGGTGTGCAAGCACGACGTAACGAAAAACCATCCAAACATGTACCTCCAAAACGCTCTTCCCAGTGGCCCTGCAGCTCAACCGAAAAAAAGCCCCCCTAGCAGAGCAAAATGCATAGGATGTTTTGGCTAAAATGCAGAGCTCGACGGCAAGAGCCCCAATAGCACGCCCTGACAAGGTGTGGGCGGATTTTGGCTCCAAATGGGGGCAAGTGCAGCCATCTAGGCGCCAGGTTGGCTGTCTTACGGCTGCGTTGGAGGCCCATAATGGTGATACAACTTCGGCATTGCCAAAAGCCATCCAAAAAGAATCAAAAAGACACCTCCAAAACGCTGTCCCCAGTGGCCCTGCAGCCGAGCAAGAATCAACGCAGCAACCGCCCCAAAACACAAAAACTCCTCCAAAACGCTCTCCCCAGTGGCCCATATATGTGGCCCTGCAAGCACGACGTAACGAAAAATCATCCAAACATGTACCTCCAAAACGCTCTCTCCAGTGGCCCGGCAGCTCAACACGCGGGAAAAAGAAACCCCCCCTAACAGAGCTATATGCATTAGGATGTTTTTTAGAAGATGCAGAGCTCAAGAGCCCCAAAGCACGCCCCGACAAGCGGCGTGGGCGGATTTTGGCTCCAAATGGGGGATAAGTGCAGCCATTTAGGCGCCAGGTTGGCTGTCTTACGGCTGCCAAAAGCCATCCAAAAAGACACCTCCAAAACGCTGTCCCCAGTGGCCCTGCAGCCGAACAAGAATCAATGCAGCGACCACCCCAAAACACAAAAACTCCTCCAAAACGCTCTTCCTGGTGGCCCTGCAAGCACGACGTAACAAAAAACCATCCAAAAATGTGCCTCGAGTGCAGGTACGTCGATCCAGCGTCCCGGATCGATTTCTCAGATGCAACACTGGTGTCTTCGTTGGTGCCATTCCAGTGTGCACCCAGGGCACCCCTGCGATTAAAGCTGCGCAGGTCAAAATGCAAAAAATGCAGTGTTCTTGAATTTCCCTTTGAGACAGGGGTTGGCGCACACACACACACACACCCATCGTTTTGCTGGGAAAGTGGCCGTGTAGGTGAACGCAAGGAGCATCCCTCAAAAAGAGTAGAGGATGTGATGCCACTGCAAATGCCCCGCCTTGCGTGCACAAACAGAATCAGAATTTGGACATTGAATTCACATGAGCTCACCCATCCGCCAACCGATGAGTTGTGTGTAGTGTAGTGTACGAAGTGTGACGCGATACGGTGATGTGCGGTGTGGCAATGCTGAACTTGTAGTTTGTACTGAGGCCTTTATCAAAAGACATTGGTCATGAACATTTCATAGCCATGTCCCGCCTAAGGTTGTAGAAGTGCGATCTTGAAAAACATCCCCAACACCTCAGAACTCTGCAATGGACAACTCAGTGTGAACCTGGAACAGTGACCATGGACCACCTTCTGCTGGGTGTTGGATGTGCCCTGTTCTGCTTGACCGTTACCTCAAGGTTCGTGTTCAAAGTTAAGAACATTGGCCTTGATTGTCCGCGCGGCAATCACCTTTCAGGCTGTCAAGACCGCAGTTTTGGCAAGCTATTCAGCCACAAGCTGGTCAGCCTGGAGGCATGGCTCTGGTTTTGTCAGCCGTTCCATTGATCCCCCCAAGTAATGTAGGAGGGAAATGGACCCACCACAAATCAGGGCTACTTGCGGTTTCCCTGAAACGGCGGAGGCTAATATTTGATAGGGGGTTTTACCAATTGACTGTATGTTGTGTTTTGCCATCAGCTTATGGGGTGGCACAGAAGTTCTGAAGGGAATGCCAACTACAACCCTAAATGCTTGGCTTGGATTTTGCCAAGCCCTGTGTGTGGGTTTGAGCAGCTCTCACGACCTGCGTGTGCAATCACGCACAGCTTTTGCAGGCCGTACTGTGCCACGCCCCTCCGTTGCACCGCATTTGGTCACTCCCTGCCGACCTAGCCCCAGGCATGGCTTGATGGCTTGAGATTTGTGTATTTCTAAGCCTGCCAGGCCAACAGCAGTGCAATCAGGCTGACCTGAAGCACGATGAGGGGGCCAAAGCTGCTGAATATGCCCCAAATTGACGAAAAAAACGAGGGACTGGACCTGCGTGGCACAAAATGCATTTACTCCAAATGACAGGCCAGCAGACCATGTTGGACTGACTCACAAAAAGTCACAGCCCTGCATCCTCAAACCCAACTCTGGTCCCAAAGCTCTCGGAGAATGCATCCTCCTTCTTCCATCCCCGTCCATTCTCGTCATTCTGATCCCTCCTCACCCCTCATCCTGATGTATAGAGTTAAAAGAAACCTTTGAGTGATCAGATTGTCCAGGCCATGATCCTTCACCACCGCAGCCGTGGCTGATCTGGCCTGGAGTGCAGTTTTTGTGAATGCTTTGTCTTTGCCTGCATCCTGTGGCTTTCTCAGTAAACGAAGCTGGGGGACATTCAGCATCATCTTCAACACAGCCCTTGGGTGCTGCCTTTCCAACCAGTCGCGTAATCGAAGTAGTGAATTCAGAATGTAACCCAGTTGAACCAAGAGAACAGTACCCTCAACTGCGATTTCTAGAGACAGGTGGCCGCAAGTAGAGGCTTCTAGACAATAGTAGACGCAGCAGACAACACGAAGATGCGCGTCCGTTTCTGTCTGAGACCACGAAGTCTCAACTTACATTGACATTGGAAGCGCAGCATGGGGATCAATGACCTTGTTGCACACCTCCACCTCTGTCCATGTTTGACACTTGGCAGCCAAGTGCTGAGGTTGGAATTGTTTCGATGCTTAATGTTTAAATGTTTTTCCGTGCGAACTGGTGGCGCTTGAGTCGCACAGCTGACTCGCGTTCCGCGGTTTTGGTTGGTTGTTCCTTCATGTTGACACTGGATGAATAACTGGCTCCTAGGAGGTCAGAAGGGAATTTGGGACCATGTGGATCTGGGAATCCGGGCATGTTGTCCCCAAGAGTCAGCTCTTGATAAGGAGAGATCACCCTTGACGAATCCCTTCACTGTGGGGGATCCCTTTGCGAAGTTTGCCAAACATACATAAGCTAGTATGGTTTTGGATAATTACTAGACAGAATGTGGTTACTGTACTGATTTTCTGGAGGTGGTTTTTGGATTCTTGGTGGTTTTGAGGGAGGCACAAAGGGCAAACTACCAAAGGCATGAGCGAACCAGGCGCCAGCATGAGCATTTTCTTTCTTTCCTCTTTGCAATGATCTGACACCGAGGCACAACTTGGTTGGTCCCCAATGCAGGAACAATTTACAGCGAGAAAACACGAATGCACGGAAGGCACGAAGGCAAGAAACTAAGGGCGTGGCCGAACGAAAGCAAAGCTGGTTGCGGATTCAAGCACATCAAGGCATTTAATTACGAATTGGAAAAAAGTGGTGGTGTCGTCAACGTGAAGGACAAATCGTTCCGAGTTTTCTTTGTGCTGGTCAGCGTGTTCTGAAACCAGCGTGCAGCATGAAGGCCACCTACAAGTGAAGGCCGGGCCGCAATGCCAGGCTTTACTGCAGAAAAGCCTAATCTGCGTGCTGACAAAGCTTTGGGACAATATGCGAAAGGCATGGCAATGACCCCTGTGCGAACAAGCATTTTGAAACAAATTGCGAAGGTGCTAATGTCCCGTCCCAAAGTGGGAGACGTGATACACAAGCGGATTGGTTTTTGAAGCGTACCTAGCAGCGACCCCACACTTCTGAGTCCCAGGAATGAGTGTTGGAGCTAGAGTACGTGCGTGTGCAATAAAGTCGATATACAATTCACACCAAGGGATATCGTTTTCAGGACAAACAGGCTCGCCATGAGGCCAGCGCAGCAAAATCACCCATTGCAATAAGGCATCAATAAACGTTGTTGGCCAGTTGTCTTGTTTTTGACAGACCTGGTCGCGTTTCTCCCAGTCGATGTCAAGAATAAGTTCATTGTCTGTAGACATGAGGGGGTTCAGTGAAAACTTATTTTCCTTGTCTTCGGTGAGTGAAAAACGATGGTTCGCTGCAGAAACCAAGAACTTGTGATAATTATGCAAACGAGCTCGTTGGTCAATGAACTTGTTTAAAATTTGCTTATACAGTCTTTGGCAAGGTGCTCTCAAAAGAAGCACGGATTTAGCTGCGAGGTCAACTTGGTGGTTTTGCCAGCACAATTCGCGAATTGGTTCTTGCAGCTTGTCCAAAGTTGCATGCGCTTGGATCTTCTCAACATGAACATATGCTCCGCGATCTGCCAAGAGATCTGCAATACACTTCCACAAATCTTGATTGCTCCATGAGGGAGGAACAACACAACCGTGAGTCTGCAAAAGACGAATCTTATCTACGCAATTCTGATAATCAGTGTCAATGTGTGAAGCAAAGAACTTTGCCAACGCCAAAATGATCCCATACAATTCCCCTCTTGCGCTGGATTGCTCAAGTCCTGGGACTAAGGAGGCCTGAATATTTTTAGAAATATATGGGCCTTTTTTGACGTTCAAAGCTCCGGCTGATAAACGAATTAATACATTTTTTGGGTCAGTGCATGTCCCGTCTGTGAAGAGAGTAAATACCCTTTGCGGCTTGGTGATCCGCAGCTTGCGGTTTTGCAGTTTTTCCCAGAGTTGCCAAACACCATGAGGCACATATTCGAGACCAAACTCGATTGCTATGGGGTGCATGCGCTCTAAAGTTTGACGTGAAACGGTGTGAGCCATGCAATAAGGAGTGAGGGCGGTGCATTTTAAACGGTGCGAGCGACTATCTAACTGGTCACAAAACGGGCACATTGGGGAGATATTGAACCTATACTTACAAATGATGTCATTCGTATATGCAGCTCCAGTGGAATGGACAAGCAAGATACTCTTTTCTTTAATGGCAAACTTTTGCATAGAACGTCGAAAACCCTCAAGGTCCAAATAGCCTGGCTGCCAATGCTTACGCATTGTGGAGAGACGTTCGCTAACTACCCTGGACCGTTCGAACTCTAAGATTTGTTTTAGCATTCTCTCGTTACACGTGGAGGGATTGAATGTAAAGCCGCTTCTAAGAGTCAAAGTTCCATCTTGCTTAAGGGTGAGTTTCCACTTTTTGAGGTTCTTAGACAAAGAAGCAGCGGGCCCTGGCTGTGCACCTGTTTTGTTGACCATGTTCAAAAACTGTTGTTTAGGGTAGCTAGGCATACAGAACAACCTTCTGAGTGTGAGAAGGGCATTTAATACAATGCTGAATTCTGGATCGAGGTTGTCTTTTCCGGTCAACATGAGGGAAAGATAAGGAGATTCACAGGTTCGACCTGCTCCTATTGCCTTTGCTGTTGCTGCACGAAGTGATCTTAATTCACATCCATTGGGAACAACCACCTGAGATGCGTAGGCAAGCGTTGCAAAAGCTGAGGCTCTGACTAGTCGTGGCTTGTTGGCTTGTGGATTTTGGCAACGCCACATTGACGAATTTTACGAAGCTTTGCATGTGTCTTGAGGATTCTAGCCTTAAAGACTTTTTTCGAAACCTTTTTTGGTATAGGTCATGTCAAAACCCGGCTCTCGTTCCTGGTGTTTTATAGGAACGGGTTGCCCTTGCAGCACAATTCCAACCAACTCCTTGCGTCCACTCTGTTCAGTGGACCGAAGCCAAGATTTGTCACCTGCAAGAGGAAGTTTAAAAAGGTCACAAAAATGCTCAAAGCAGGAAATGGCCTGTTTTAATGGTCCTGTAGAGCCATTCAACAAGCTCCAATTATCAGCAAAAGCATACACGATGGTGTCAGGGCAAGTCGAGTGCATGTAATGATACATGCTCAATGTTACGAAAAGCATAGCGACAACGGCCAGAGGGCACCCCTCAGGGACGCCAGTATGACTGGTCTGACAGTCGCTCACAAAGCCATCGAAAACAAAAACGCGTTCGAAGTTCTTCATTAGATTCGAACAAGGATTGATCATATATTCAGGTATACCAAACTCTCGAAGAGCCGCCAAGATCAGGCCCCGATGAATGCTATTAAAGCACTTACGAATATCCACAACAAGGCCGTGCAATGGCTCTTCTTTGGTGGCCTGTTCAATGAGAAAAGAGACATGCATCATCAAAACAGTAGGGTCAATTCCCCGAACACCACCGCCAATCAATGGAGCAGCGAAACGAGATGCCCATCTCAAGATTTGCAGCGTATGGGTCCGTGCCCACGTGCGATAGACACGAGAAAGAATTGTAATAGGCCTCAAACCTGATGGGGATGTGGAGTCCGCATCAGGTTTAGGCAGTAATACAACAAAAGCTTGGCACCACTGTTTCGGCCATGGCTGACCAAGTTCTATCTGGCGCAGGATAGTACACAAGAGTTCTAAGTACTCGGCTGGTAGTGCTAACAGCTCACACACACTGAATTTACAGGAGCCACGCATGCTGCGCTTTTTGGTGCCTAGCAGTGCTTTACGAAAATCGTATGCTTGGATTTGTGTTCCTGGAAACTCTTCCCACGTGGGGAGTGCTTGGACAATAACTTGTGCATCCTGTAAGATCTGCTCATTATCTTCATGCTGGTCACGTTTCCAGTATGTGTTCCAAAAATCCCAACATTGTTGCGCGCGATTCGCATCGTCAAGAACTACATGAACTTGAAAAAGGGTCAAGACACTGGCTTTGAAAAACAGTGGGGAATCAAGAGTAACAACGTTGTCTTGGATTTTGCTTATGTGAATGGTTTGTTGTGCGTAATGGATAGGCAATCATCTCTTAAACCTGCGGCGTCGCGTAATTTGATGACTCTGTGCCCTTCCAAAGAACAACGAACCGGTAAAATATCAAACGACAACTTCTGGTGAAAGACAGGTGGAAGCGAACCGGTGTCTTCTTTTAGGGATTGAAAAACAAGGCGTCCACCTCTTTTTAAATCACCATCCATGGTTTCTCTTTGCTTCCTGCGCAACTTAGCCATGTGCTGCCTTTCAAGATTGTCAAAAAATTCACGCGTCCAATGTAATGCGTCATTTACAAAATCGGCATTGGGCAAGTCCACAGGCACATATAACGCACCCTGTTCGAACAAGAAGGTTTGAAAAGACTGAGGGAAACCAGTAGATTGCATACTTGCTTTCCAAAGAGAGGTGATTTCACGCATTAAACAACTACGTCGTTGTATGCTCAAGTCTTGCTGGAGTTTTCTTGTCAAGTGGAAAAGGCTAGTCAGGCGTCTCACTTGCCTAAGAAGTTGTCTTAGTTGGACATGCTGCCAATGGCCTTTAGGCTGAAAATTGCCCTGTCGACCAGGTTTACAAAAAGGGACCGACATGGTTGAGGTCTTGGTGTGCCTGTGCGAACCCCTTCCTAGAAAAGCCTTACCCTTACAAGACAGCAACCCGGTTGCGTCAACCGCGGTGCTTTGAAAAAGCTGTTCACAAGCCTGAGACCAGCTTCTGACAGCGAGGTCCAGGTTTTCACTTTCGATCGAATTATGAATTTCCTGTTTTCTTTGGTCAAGTATACCTTCCTGGCACGAAGCGATCAGATCGGAGTCGAAAAAAGCATCGTCAAAGGACTTGGGGTAAAAAAGTTGGGTTGTTTGTAGACTTCCAGGACTGATCCTGAAAGAAGCTTTCAA